GTTACATGCAAATAAGTGCTGATTTCTGGGTTAGCTTTTCTCCTTACAACCTAAACCTGGACCTCCTCAGTAACCCTAGAATCATTATTCTTGGAAGAGGAAACTCAGAATTCAAGCATAAATATTATGAATACTTCATATGTCAATATTTGAAGTATAGCTACTCTTATGCTTTACCTGCTTTATCTTTGTCTACTATAGGCTGCTCTGCATCACATGATGTACTTGAGAGACGTGGGCTCTGGCAAGTGAGAGAACTGAGTTCATATTCTGGCTCTGCCACTTCCTATCTGTGCGAACTTGGGTATCTCCTTTGAGCCTTAGTTCCCTCATCTGTAAAATAGGAATAAACGGCCTTATTTTTCGAGGTGGCTGTGAGGAATAAGACAGTAAACTGAGAAGAACAGAGTTCAGTGTCTGTTTGCCAAGTGGGTGTTCCATAGTAGTAATAATTTAATAGCTAACGATTAGTGAATACGTAGTATGTACTAAACAGTATGCTCTGTGCTTTATGTATATCACTGTATTTAATCCTCAGTACACCCATGAGATACGTATAATCATTTTGTCCACTTTATAGTTGAGGAAGCTGAGGCACAGAAAAATTATATGACTTAGTTAAGAACACACAGCCAGGTACTGTCAGTTGGGATTTGAACCCAGGATCTAGGATTTGAACGCAGGACCTAGGATCTGAACCCAGACCAGATGGGCCTCCAGAGCTCATTTAATAACCACAAGAAATAGTGACCATTCTTATCAAGATTATTCAGTTGAAAAATGAAATGTTTGGGTTTTTTTTTCTTTTTTGGTTTAAATGCTGAAAAAGAACTGCTCTGACAACTAGGTGCACCGATTTGCTCCGTCCTTTTCTCAATATAAAAACAAAGCTTCTATAGGATGTCTGGCATTATTTGGAAAAAGAAAAATTGCTTCCTGTAATCTGGTAATGTAAGCAGGCTAGTGATATGTGCTTTTAAAAAATCCAGGAATACCCTAGTTGTAGTGAACTTCATTTTTTGTACAATTAAATATATAAGCTGAAAGATTTTAAATTTAAGGGCATAAAAAGGTGTGATTTGGAATGGAGATTTTGCTTCGAGCCTTAATGACTGGACTGACAGACTACCACTTATTAACCTGGACCCTAAGTCGATATGCACCTTGTCTTAATGGTGATAAGTAATGCATTAATTTACCTTTTATTATTTGCCAGCAATGCTAAAGTGATCTGTAGATTTGACATGATGTGTTTCTACTAGAAAGACTGCACTTCTCCCCTCTATTCATTTTAAATGGGACAAAATTCGCATTGTCTGTCATTTCCGTATTGAGAAATAGACAACTAAGGAATGTTATTTCATGAAGACTGTCACTGAAGCAGAATGCTGATGCCAATAAGCGTTTCTGTATATGTTCTTTTCTTGCTGAAATCTTGTTGGCATGTTGCAGAAGCTGAGTGGTTAAAAAAAAAAATCTCAAATGTAAAACTTATAATGCCATTGTCATTATCCAGAAAAGATAATGGCAGAGAAAAAGGAGAGTCGTAGAGGTTAAAATCTCTTAGGGGTGGGAAAAGGGAAGGGGCTTTCAAGGAGCCTGACTGTATTGGCTACCCTCAGCTCCAGTACACTAGGCAAGGAAGACTGACTGGAGGTTTCCACCCACAATGAACTTTCTTTATTCCACAAATGTACTTTGCTTCCCCCCACCTCGGGGCCTTTCCACACGGGCTTTTTCTCCCTGGAATGCTCTATCCACTGACCTTCCCCTAATCCTTGCACATTCTTCAGATCTCTGCTTAGATTAGAGAAGCCTTCCTCAACCTCCTCGATTCAGTTGGATCCTTTGTTCTTTTTCTTCATTGGGGTCAAACATTGTCGTTCTTTACAACTGTATATTTGTGTGATAGACTGCAAGCTCCGTGGAGGGTGGGAACCAGGCCTGGTTTTAGGCACCACTGTAGCCCAGGGTTTGGCACAGTCTTGACACATAGTAGATGCTCAAGAAATATCTGTTAACCTACAATAGTTCACCCTAAAGGGAACCTGAGTACCTTCTGTTTAGGCCAGTGCTGCCGCCGCTACAAAATAAGATCACAGGGGTCTTACTTCTCCCGTCCAGATTATTTGTGCCGACAAAACAAGACTTTGGTTGCACATTTGGTTGCACTGGTGTGAAGTAATCATTCTCTCAGGCTTCCCAACAACTTTGACTGGCATAATCTCGGTTTGGTTTACAGCCTCTGGGATTACCAGATTTGTAGTGAGATGCTGAATGTAGGGAGGCATTTATCAGTTTTCTCAGCACACGGGGCACCTTTAAGGAAGGCTTCGCCATGTGGCAGAGTTGGAAATTAGCCTGTTTATCACTGAGGTTCACATGTCCTATGCCATTTGAGTTCAGGATCCACACCCTTGTGTGTGTCCACGGTTAAGAGCAATTCTGACCCTTCTTTCTCACTCCAGTGGCAGTATTAGAATGGAAGTGAGTGAAAATGACACGTTAATAGCAATAGTCTATAATGATGTTCAAAAATGTTTCTTAATAAATCAAAACGCAAATGTTACCGAATTATTTGTGACATGCCTCACGGCTGATTGTGATTCTCAAGTCCACACTGTGGAAAAAAAGCTGAAAAGCACTCAGAGAGTGGACCCTGAGAGCCAGCCAGGAGCCGCAGGCTGCCTTCCCTCCTCCTCACCCCCACCACAGGGCAAGCCCACTTAGGGGCACCTCTGCTTCCTTCCTCTTTTACTTTCTGGGTCTGGAATCAGGACAAAGCAGATCAGCATCTGGCATCGATTTGTTACTCTTTTAATAACCCTAATACATCTTGGAGCACTCCATTTACTTGAGCATTTTGACCAATCTATTTTAAAGAAAAGCATTTATTTGTTCAGCTTTTGATCAGAATAAGCTCAAGTGCCTAAAAGTAGAGACCATGGTACATCTCTGTATTCAACTGCCACCTTCCCCTCCCCAGCACAGCATCTTCCTCCCCTCCCCAGCACAGCATCTTCCTCTGTAAACACCTTTGTGATTTTTTATTTGTCTCTACCTCTTTTTTTTCCTCACTTCTTCACTCCAGGAAGGATACCGTGGGATTGGCTTATTTTATTACAGAGACTATTCGTATGGTGGTTTTGTGCGAACCTGGTCACTCCATCCATAGCACAGGCTGCGAAAGGCCAAGAACTCAAATTCTTCCTCATTTGGGGAGGGGGGTATGTCCATGACAGTCCCTTGTCCCTTCCTTTTGAAACCCCTGATCTCAGCTTTCCTCCTTTCCGAAATGCCAGAGAAAAGAAATGAGGTTGTCTAAGGTGACCTGTTTCTTTCCTAGTGGCTAAGCCACGCTCCCAGTCCTCAAAGAGCCATTCAGTTTCCGGAACTGGGTTTTCCCATATGAATGATGTAGCATCCAGCGCATTGTACCTGGAGTCAGAAGACCCGGTTCCAATTTTGGACACCACCCCTTATCAGCTGCGTGACTTAGGCAAGTTACTTCAGCTTTCTGAACTTATTACCCATGCTCCGGATGGCTGGCTTGAAATGAGTATGCCTAGACTTTGTTCCATTATCACTCTTAAGAGGGAGAGAGAGGGGGAGAATCTACTGACCCGTTTCCAGCGGAGATTCAGGGAAGCCCTCCCAGGACTGGCCCCAGGCACCTTCCCGGTAGCCTGCATAGCCTCCCTGCAACTGTTGCCCCTGCCCCCAACCCACCCCCGGCTCACGGCTGGCTTGACGTAGCGCAGCTCTTAAGTAGGTGTGAGTTGTTGGAAAACTGCGAATTATTATTCCAGGGTCAGTCACTCCCATTTACTCTAACGTGCTTCTCTGACCGGCCGGGTAATCCCGCCTCTCCTCGTTGGGGTCCCAATCTGACCCCCACTCAGCCTCCTCCTTCGGGAAGAGCAGAAGGCGAAGAGCGCGCGGCTCACCCTCTCCCGGGCCGCCCCCAGCCTGCGCCCTGCCCTCTGCGCCCAGCTCGCCCCGTACTCGGGCGTCCAGGAGCTCCCCCTCCGGGCAGCGCGCTGTGGCCGCCGGCGGGGTTGGCAGCGGCGCCCACCGCCCGGCGGCCCGGGCGACTCACCCGCCCGCCCACGTGCGTGGAGAGGAGCGAAGCGCAACCAGTCGCGGCGCCTGCGCTTGCCACCGGTGGGTGCCTTACCTCGGAGGCCGCCGGGGGCCGTAACCCGAGCCCCGCTGCCACGACCCATATTTGCATAATTCGGTCCCCCCCCTTCTTTCAGACTCAGGGCTGGAGATGCGAGTCGGGCTCCCCTCCGAGGCGTCGTCTTGCCGGTGGTCAGCGCGGGGGCCGCAGGACGGGCCGGAGCGCAGGCGGAGCGGGCCGGCGCACGTGGTAAGAGTGCAGCTTTCTTTTCTTTTTTCAGAAACGGGACTTTCCACGTTTTTGCCGAGGGTGGGGTACCTACAAGGGTGCTAATTTTGCTGCGATTTCCTTCCTTTCCCCTTTAATTTTTATCTCCAATTGGAAAAGAGCGCGCAGCGCAAGCGAGAAACTTTCCCAAATTTTCTCTGGGCGTTTGAAGTCAGGAAGATGGCCGTCCGCGGGAGAACCAATTTCGCGGCGGGCAGGGGGAGAACCGGAGCGCCGGAGGAGAAGCAGAGGCAGCTCACCGCTGCCCCGGGGTCCTGACTGCCGCGCGCGGGGCCGGGCGGGAGCGGACTCGCAGCGGCTGGGGCCGTGGCAGGTGAGCGGCCGGGAAGCCGCCTGCAGCGCCGCGCTTCTTCCACGGCGTGGCGCCGTGGCTCTCGGCCGCCCGGGCTCCCACGAGGCTGGGGCCGTCCTGGCCCGCCGCGGGAAAGGGCAGGGCTGGGCCCTAGAGGCTGTCCCGCGCCCTACGCCAGGCCTTGGCTGCTTTGGGGGCGGGAAAGGGTCTGGCAGGCGTCCACTCGCCAGGTTTGAGCAATTGAGACCAACCTCCTACGGAGCCCCGGCCAGGCCAGGAGCGCTCCGGGTGGGGGTGGCGGGGTGGGCCAGGGCGCGCCGGGAGATAGAAGCGGTCTGTGCAGCCAGTCAGAACCCACCGCTATCTGGACCTCTGAAAAGTTTTTAAAAATTGCTTTGGGAACTAAGCAGAAAGGTTCCCAAAGGGGCCAGTTTTTTTTTGTTTTTTTTTTTTTACACGCAAAGGGAAAAGCGCGTACGGTGATGGCTACTCGAAACTGGCGTTAGCGTCACCGTTTGCTATCACTCTGGACCTCGCTCGGCTCCCCGAGGTGGCTCTTGGCCAGGGATAGGAAGAATATTCCTCCTCATGTGTGTGTTCTGGAGTAGCGCTCGGGTGCGGGCAGAGCGCACCTCCGGAGGGTAGGCTTTCGGGGGTGGATGACTGCGGTGGCGGCAGGTACAGGCAGTGAAGGTGAGAATGGGTGTCTTCGCAGAGCAGCCTGTTCAGCAAACCCAGGCGCCCACTCTGCCGACCAGGCATTCTGTTGGCGAGGCGAGCGCACGAGCGCGCTGTCAACAGGGAGGTGTGTAGCGTAAGGTGTGCGAGTGGGTGTGTGAAGAAGGTGGCGGGGGCAGGAGTGTGTGCAGCGGAAGTGGAGCGTGTGTGAGTGTAAGAGTGTGTGCGCGTGTGTGGCGGGGCAGGGTGAGTGTCCAAGCCTCCATCTGGACGCCCCCACACTGCCGACCGCCCAGACGCGCCGGGAAGGGCGCCCGCTCCGTGCAGCAGCTGAAGGGGGGCGGGGAGCGCGCGGGCAGAGGAAGGGGGGGGTGTCTCCGGCTGAGGATTTCTCTCGAAGCTCCCCGCAGTTATCTGCTCCTCCTAGGGAGCTCCCCCCCGCCCCAAGGTGCCCAAAATACTTAAACAAACAAACAACCCCAAACCTGTTCCGTTTTCGCTCCTGTATAAATAGAACAGACTTTCCAAAAAAGCAATACCGCATTCACTCTTATCACCAGCTACTTCTTTCCACCAAGTAATTCAGAAAAAAGCAGTCAGCTTCCGTGAATGCATGCAGCTTTTTTTTTTTTCTTCTCTGCCTCCTTTTGCTTGCGGTTTTGAGCTGCCAAGAAAGTGAGTAGGGGTTTGACTGTAGTGTCTCGGCTCCGCTCGGTTTCTTTCCGAAGTTTAATTTTCCGGAATGGCTCCCAAACAAGGGCTGGGGAGGCGGAGCTGCCGGCACCGGATCTTCGCCTTTTTTGGAAAGTCCCGGAGAACCGGAATTCCTCCCCGCCCGGGAGGCCGCGCCGCAGCCCGGACCGATCGCTCTCCCACAGTGGTCTAAGCCGGACCCGTGGCGCGCCCTATCCCCGTCCGGCCCTGCGCTCTGGATCCGGCCTGCGGCTCGGGCCCCGCGCCCCAGACCCCCATGGATCCTCGCGGGCTGCCAGCCGGGAGTCGCGAGCCCGGAGGAGCCCGCGCAGCCGAGCCCCTATGCAAATCGGCCATGTGACGGCAAAAGCCGCCTGGCCCAGCCCTGTTCCTCAGTCCATATATGGGCAGTGACGTCACGGGCATTGAGGACCTGCCCATAAATACTTAGAGCAACACTTTCCGTCTAACCCGGAGAGCAGCAATTGATTAATAGCTCGGCGAGGGGACACACTGACTGTTATAATAACACTACACCAGCAACTCCTGGCTTCCCAGCCGGAACACAGGAGAGAGTCAGTGGCAAATAGCCATTTTTCTTCTTAAAAAAAAAAGCAACTTGTTTGCTAGTTTTATTTGTTAGATTTTTTTTTTTGAGGTGGGTAGTTGCCTTTAAGTGTGGAGGGCAAAAGGAGATACCTGCCTAGGCTCAGTCCAATCCCTCTCCAAAACGGCTTCTCTGACACTCCAGGTAGCGAGGGAGTTGGGTCTCCAGGTTGTGCGAGGAGCAAATGATGACCGCCAAGGCCGTAGACAAAATCCCAGTAACTCTCAGTGGTTTTGTGCACCAGCTGTCTGACAACATCTACCCGGTGGAGGACCTCGCCGCGACGTCGGTGACCATCTTCCCCAATGCCGAACTGGGAGGCCCCTTTGACCAGATGAACGGAGTGGCCGGAGGTAAGCCGCTTGCCCCCTTCGCGGACCGGGACCCACGCAGCTCGGAGATGGTAGGGGGGGTTCGGTGCATGTGCAGGACTTGGAGGAGAGGGTCGGGGCGCGAGGTGGACGGCGTTGACTGAACTGGCTTTGAAGAATGGAAGGGGGTGCAGGAGGAGCCCGCGTGAGCGGGGATCCGGGCGTTGGAGCTGGACGCGCAGGCAGATGCACCAGGTTGCCAGCGAGCGAGCGTGCGTGCGCCGCGGCGCGCCCAGCCCCCGGCGGGCGAGGGGTGAGAGTAGGAGAGGTGCCCCACCAGGCTTCTGGGCTTGTGCGGGCCTTTCCGCTGGCCGCACCCCAGTCTCCCCTCTCCCGGGGTAGGGGCAAAGTGACGGGAAAGTTCGGGGCTCTGGAGGAAAGCTGCGCGTCTGGAGAGCCGAGCGGCGGAGAAGCCCCAGAGGAAAGCGTCCGCCGCTCCCTCTTCGGCAGAGGAGACCCGGGGAAAATCTCGGAGCGCGCTCCCCCTGCGGCCTGCAGGAGCGCCCCCACCTGCGCGCCGCCCGCGAAATTGAGGGGGTTGACCTCTCGGGGAGGAGGAGGTGGAGGGCGGGCAACGGCGGGAAGCGGCCCCCTGGCTGCCGAGGGAAGCCCATTGGGCACCGGTGCCGCGAGTCTCCTTGGCGATGCGGTGGAAAGTGGTCTCCCGCAACCCCCGCGCCTCCCCCGAAGCCCTGCCACTGTCTTTGGGCTGGGGCGAGGACGCGCGCGTGTCGGGCAAGGCTGAAAAGGTTGGGAGGGGAAGGGAACCTATAGACTCCTTCCATCGCAGAGCCCGATTCCCTCCAGCAGTGGGAGAGGGAGGAAAGGAAGGCACCTGGGATGGGGAGCAGCTGGGAAATCATTGACCCCCTTCTTTGGCTCACCTCTCAGGCTGACACCTTCGCGGCAGTGGCTGGGATCAGTCTTCTGGGTGGTGTCTGCCCCAGCCGTGGGACCCCCCCAGGCAAAGGAGAGGGAGAGAAGTTCCAGGCAGATGGGGAATTTTTAATACTCTTCTTGCTATTTTTGGGTGTTTTTATTGGGGACTAGAGCCACAGATGGCTGTATATGGGGGTTGGGAGTAGCTCATCTGCTTTCCTGGAGGTAGTTTGCGTCCTAGACTGTCACTGGCTGCCACAGTAGGATATTGGGCTAGCCTCTTCTGTCTTTGAGCCACAATTTCCTCACCTGTTGAACTCCGCCTCAGCTCTACAGTGTAAGATCCTGGGCCTTGGGGTTGGACTCATGTGAGACGGGGGTGAGAAGGGATTCTTGGCTGCATTCTCATTGCTCCACCTCCATTCTTCCTTTCCCCTCCCCAGATGGCATGATCAACATTGACATGACTGGAGAGAAGAGGTCCTTGGATCTCCCATATCCCAGCAGCTTTGCTCCTGTCTCTGCACCCCGAAACCAGACCTTCACTTACATGGGCAAGTTCTCCATCGACCCCCAGTACCCCGGTGCTAGCTGCTACCCAGAAGGCATCATCAACATTGTGAGTGCAGGCATCCTGCAAGGGGTCACCTCCCCAGCTTCCACCACAGCCTCATCCAGCGTCACCTCTGCCTCCCCCAACCCACTGGCCACTGGACCCTTGGGTGTGTGCGCCATGTCCCAGACCCAGCCTGACCTGGACCACCTCTACTCTCCACCGCCGCCTCCTCCTTATTCTGGCTGTGCAGGAGACCTCTACCAGGACCCCTCGGCGTTCCTGTCGGCCGCCACAACCTCCACCTCCTCCTCTCTGGCCTACCCACCACCTCCTTCCTACCCGTCCCCCAAGCCAGCCACGGACCCAGGTCTCTTCCCCATGATCCCAGACTATCCTGGATTTTTCCCATCACAGTGCCAGAGAGACCTACATGGTGCAGCTGGCCCAGACCGCAAGCCCTTTCCCTGCCCCCTGGACTCCCTGCGAGTCCCCCCTCCACTCACTCCACTTTCCACCATCCGCAACTTTACCCTGGGAGGGCCCAGTGCTGGGGCCACAGGGCCAGGGGCCAGTGGAGGCAGCGAGGGACCCCGGCTACCTGGCAGTGGCTCCGCAGCTGCTGCTGCTGCTGCCGCCTATAACCCACACCATCTGCCGCTGCGGCCTATTTTGAGGCCTCGAAAGTACCCCAACAGGCCTAGCAAGACCCCAGTGCATGAGAGGCCCTACCCGTGCCCAGCAGAAGGCTGTGACCGGCGCTTCTCCCGCTCCGACGAGCTAACACGGCACATCCGAATCCACACGGGGCACAAGCCCTTCCAGTGTCGGATCTGCATGCGCAACTTCAGCCGCAGTGATCACCTCACTACCCACATCCGCACCCACACTGGCGAGAAGCCCTTTGCCTGTGATTACTGTGGCCGCAAGTTTGCCCGGAGTGATGAGAGGAAGCGCCACACCAAGATCCACTTGAGGCAGAAGGAACGCAAGAGCGGTGGCCCCTCCTCGTCGGTGCCGGCCGCCTCCACCACCTCCTGCACTGGGGGCGCGCAGGCTGGGGGCACCCTGTGCGGCAGCAACAGCAGCACTATTGGTGGAGGGTCCCTCGGCCCTTGCTCATCTCGGACCCGGACACCTTGAGATGAGACTCAGGTTGACACACCAGCTCCTTGAGGCCCTTCATCCACTGGAGCTGCACGACAAACACTACCACCCATTCCTGCCCTTCCCTCATTTCCTTGGGCAAAGGGCCTTAGGAGCCTAGCACTGCCCCCTCCCCTTTCCACTTAGAAGCAGGTCCTTCCTAAAAGTTAGCCCACCTTAGTCTCTCTTAGGTGAGTTGACTGTCACCCCAAGGTAATGGGGAGGCTCAGAAGGGGGTTGGGTGGGGGTCCCTGGCCTAGAGGGCTGAGGCATGACCCTACTTTAAAGGGTTGTTTGACTAGGTTTTTCTTCCCCTCTCTTACTTTGACTGGTTACAGGTTTTTGACTCTGGATGTCAGAAATGATCTGAGACTTTTTCTACAGTAGGTTGGGAGATGCTCATCCCTTCAGGTGGGGATAGCAAAAAAGGCAGAAGCAAAACTGATGTGCACTTTATGGCTTGGGACTGATTTGGGGGATGCTGTACAGTGGGTGAAGCATGGCCTTTATAAAGCTGCATTCTGTGGCCCTAGAACAGTGAATCAAAGCTTATCTAGTCATCTCAACCCTTTAAGCAATATGTATTATAAACTCCGAGAACAGAAGTGCAATGTGATGGGAGGGACATAGCAATATCTGCTCCTTTTTGAGTGGCTTGAGAAATGTAAAGACTATTTTTTCAGTGTATATCCATTCAGATTTTGTGTATTTTTGATGTGCACTGTTCTCCAAGTTCTGAACCTTTGGGAAAAAAAGTAAAGCATTTATGATCTCAAAATGAGTCAGAGGTTAACTTATTTAAAGGGGGATGTACATATATTCTCTGAAACTAGGATGCATGCAATTGTGTTGGAAGTGTCCTTGGTGCCTTGTGTGATGTAGACAATGTTACAGGGTCTGCATGTAAATGGATTGCCTTACTATGGAAAAAAAAACCATCATTCCCTGGGTTTAGTATGGCTGTATATTTCTGCCTATTAATATTTGGAATTTTTTTTAGAAAGTATATTTTTGTATGCTCTGTTTTGTGACTTAAAAGTGTTACCTTTGTAGTCAAATTGCAGATGGGAATGTAAATAATGCTACTGGAGCTGACTTGTTTGGTTATTAGCTCTTAATAGTTGTGGAAATATAAATGATTTATTCTAACACAAAACCACTAACTAAAGTTCAGATAAGGAATGGTTTATGACTATGGTGTAAATAAATACTTTTCAACAATATTTTTGCTGCAGAAATTACTTATGAAAGATTTATTGGGTGGGACTTCAACAGTACTCAGTGGGTTTTAGTACTTTGACCAAGCCAGGATCTCCAAGTCTTCTTTGCTAGCCTTTCTGACGCCAGCTCTCTCACCCCAAAGCAATCTCCATTCACAATCAAACGCTAGTGTTCTGGGGATTTCCCCCATGCATTAGTGTAAAAGTGGGGAGGCGTTGTTTTGACTCATTGTTCCGTCCTCTATAACAGCCTATAACTTCTCTCTGCTCCTGAGTGGGCTCCGGAAAATAAATACTTACAAACAAGTGCCCACTCGGAGACTACACATTTGCGGCTGTTTTCAGAACCCTGACCAGGGCCAGGAACTCAGACGAGATGTGGCTTTGTGGAAAGTGTGGTGGCGTGGTCAAGCTGGAAATGACTTTCAGGTTCCAGGATTACTCTCATGACCGCAGAAAACTTTTTGAAAAGCGCTATCACCTCTTCAGATCAAAAATGCACTCAGACACTGCTGATGACAGCATTAATAGGCTGCCAAAGGAATTACCCCAGAACTCATTTCTCTCCAGCCTTGTCTCCCCAATTACACCTATTCAGAAGGATCATTACACTGCCATAGGTTTGGTGGGTCTGGAGACTATTAAAACGTTCACCTTTTTAGATAAGTGTATACCAGCCTTAAGAAAACCTCAAAGACAATCTGAATCAAATAGGCAAAAGTGGTCCTCCATGGCACTGGATAATGGTTTGCAAAACAATACACTATAGGGGTCATTTTACTGCAAGCCTTTTGTAGTGATTTTAAAATATAAATTCACCCCCCCAATAGTTATCTATGTATCATACAATGCAGATTGTATTTGTGAAGTTATCTTTCTTTACTCTAAAATTGGACCTAAATATCATTTAACATAACTTGCTGCCTCTGGATCCTTACACAAATGTAACACACTGGAGTGCCCAGTGTTTAGCTACATCATCTGAAAACCCTGTCATCTGTTTGTCCTTTGGCACTGTTAGACTCTCTCAGGCGTGGTTGATAACAGATGGCCTGTATTTTAGAACAGCAGTGGCAGCTTCTCCTGGAAACTACTTTTTGCCCTTACCAGCACTAGAATTCGAAATCTAATTTGTGAAGGTAACTAACCCTTATTTCCTTCCTGTCCTTATTTCAAAGATGCACAATACCTCTAATAACTACTAAATGGAAGTTTCTAAACTTCAGTGTCAGATGGTTCTAGTGACTGGTGTCATTCCATTAGATTCATATTTCCTAGCTTGTCAGCATACTATCATCCTTGCTTGGCCAATTTTCTTAAAGAAGTATGTATAAAACAATGCCACATTTTGATAATTGTGTTTTTAATGATACTACTCTCCTACCAAAATGTCATTATATTAAAATATAATACACCTAAGTTTTATGTTATTTATAATTGTCTTGCCAAATTTTAATTTCAGAGCACCTTCAATTAAGACAATGTAAACAATTGTTAACAAAGCAACAGACTAAAAATCTCTTTTCAATAAGATGAAATACATATTGGTGATTTGCCTTGATGTGGGCTTGGTGAAGTGGCATAACATACACACCATAAGGAACACACCTTGGTGTTTTTTCAGAGCCAACCTTGTGGATTTTACTCCTTGATTTCAATAGGTTAGGTCAATCTTTAATCAGATTTTATCTGCTTGAAACATTCAGGGTACTGTTCACAGGTGTCTCATTTTTTACTTTGCTCAAGAAATAAAGCATATAAAGCTGTCTGCTTTCTTTTGTTCAATATGCTTTATTAAATAATATTATTGATGTTTCAGCTGTTACTGGGAATTATTAAAAATAAACTTCTGGAGAGTAATTCCTTAAAGATCATAATGCAGTTGAGATGGTTCAGTACACATTAAAAATAGGTCTGTTAAACCTAAATAAGGTTTCCAATTATTCATAAACCAGGCTATTTAATTTCAATATCCTAACTGCTAATGAAGGCAAATTGTTTGGCATATATTAGAAATGGCTGTAGTGATGCTTTAACAGTTCGATACTACTTTGAGGGGTGGTGGTGGTGGGAAAGAATGGTCACTATCATCACAAGTGCCTAAAATGCTGCCAATCCAAACTACAATTAAATAAACTTTACAGAAAAAAGAAAGACAAGAAAATATTTAAGTCCAAAGGTTCTTTCCTTCGTGAACGTAAGTATTTTTGTTTTCTTACACTAGCTTATTTTCCTCAGGTTAAATATAAAAGGAGTGTTTTCGTTGCAGCAAAAGAGTTATGATTGCATGTTAAATAATTTCAGATGTTTTATCAATCAGGCTGTTTCAAACATCACACTCAGGGAAATAAACTATTAATTTTAAGTTTATATTATTACTTGGACTTTAGAATCTGCAGAAGGCCCCCAGTTTTTAGTACAACATAATCTTACCATACAGACTGTGAATGTTTAACAACAATTCAAATGTAGGCATCATAGCAAGTAATATTTTCCTTTTCCCTTTTGCAATAATCAAATAAGATTTACCTCTCAACAATTTCAAAAATGACTTTATTTTCCACAAGTACACTGATTTTAATCTAGAAATGTAAACATCGCTGGATCAGAAGATTCAGTATCTATATGGGGCTTAACAAATGATTTCCTTCTTTGCCACTCATTGAACGCGAATAATCAATGGTCAGCTTCTGTTTGTGATGTGAAGTTCTGAATTCAGAACAGGAGAGTTACAGGAGTGGCACTGCCCTCAGGTTAGAGTTGAATAGCAATGGGCAGAGCCCTGAATTAAAGATATATTGCTTTTTCGTTTAACAGTAGAGCTAGAGCACAAGACTCCAAGTCATTTGGAATAAATGAGTGATGAGAGTCCTCCTGAGATGCCTAGACTAAGGCACCTACAAGGGAACAATGCAAAAGAAGGAACATAAATTGTGAGTTTTCGGAGAAGTTAAGGGCTGTTAGCATTAAAAGATCAGGTAACCCACTCCTGTTGACAAACACACATTACTTTGAAAAAAGGTTCACCATTTTCACTGATAAACAGCAGTTGGTCTAAACTCAATCCATGCAAATTAGGCTTAATAAAAAAATCAATTCTCATAAAGTAGTAGGTAGACATACAACACTCTGAATTGATATAACCAGAGAATTAAAAAGCTTTAGAAGTATTAGACAACTTCTCACCCATGAGAGGCAATTATTGCATTTGTTATTCAACAGAAAGTTAAGTGATTAGTATCATTGTGCTCATTAGTCTTTGTAGAAGACAACTTTTTTCCCACAGTTGTTACCCATATTGCAGGAATATATGGAAACACAACAGCAGCACATTAAGTCACCTCTAACAGTTTATGCAGAAAGGTGCAAGGCTTTTCTGCACCACATTTTGTCTCTGTATTAAGAATATTCTTTCCTTAGTGGCTCATTAAAACAAGTTAATTTTGTTTTCACCATTAATTTACTCAGAATTATTAGTGAAACGAAAGTTTCACTGTTCTTATTGAACTAGAGAGATATAATGCTGTTTTGGCCTGTGATAATTTCAGTTACTCTTTTGAAAAGCACCTTAGTCTTCTTCATTTAACTTGCTTGTACTTGAGAACTTAAAAATTTTTCATAATGAAGTTTGAAAAAACAATTTCTCTTTTATTACTGTCCTGTTGCCAGAATGAGTTTTTGTAGGTTAGTTTAATGTACTCCAGATAGTATTATAACCTATATATCATTATCAACAATCATTGTAAGTTGATCAACTTTTTGCTACAATATAATTCAAAACAGGTAGGTATGTGATAACCATACACATTCATCATTGTGCTATGAAAAAAACCCATTTTGTGAACAATTTTAAAGAAAATCATCATTTGCATATCCAGAATTTAATTTCAAACTGAATGGCCTGAAGAACTGCTTCAAACTGCCCCTAAGGTATACTAAACCACACCAGAATGTGACACTACCATAAAACAATTTTAGCAAACTTGGAAGAAATGCATTATGCTTGTGTCAGGTTTTACAACACAGTGGCATATCATGTTTAGTAGCATCTTTTTTGTAATTTGTTTTTTAAGAAAAGTCATTAAGAATTTGCTTTTTCATTCTATTTTTAAATTTGGGAACAAATATTCCTTCACTCTGGGCCTCTGTAACCCAGTGTGCAAAAAGAGGCAAAGGCACATACTGCTTCCCTACAGGGTCATCACTTCCCACCAATAGCAAATCTCCCTTTATTACAGATATTAGAACTCAACTGCCACATGGGCAAGTCAATCAAGAGGGCTTAGACAACAGCTGGACAAATTTTAATGTGTTTATTTCTACAGTTTTTTTTATTAAAAGTTTTGTGAAAAAAAGAGTCCTATAAATAGTAAAAAGGGGGAAACAGGAGTGTTCCTTGGCCTGAAGCAAATGGTGTCAATACATTTGTAAACAAGGTAAAGCTCAGCCAATTAAAAGGACAAAAATAAAACTAGTCACAACACAGCTGTTCATTTCAAGCGGTTGGGAATGGGAAGTGTTTTGTCCCAAGTTTTGGTGCCCTAAAGTGGCCAGCAGTATAGTTAATTCTCAATTTTCTAGCCTTGATCATCTGTGCCTCTCTCTCTTCCTGCAGAAAACTCACCCTAGATGAAGCAAGCACTGGCTCTCTCCTATTTGAGGGACAAGGTTCTGAGAACACTGACACCAACAACACAGCTGGAATCATCAAGCCCCCTGGAACGTTAGAACTCCTGAGAGAATTTGAAACAGTCATGAACATTTTCCTCTACTTTTGCAGGAAAATACTGGAAGTAAATATGGGCACAGAATTCAACAGCTGGCTAAGGGTGTTTTACATTCCGTTGTTTGGAAGCATACCGATTCAGCTCCTCTGAATCTTATGGTTAGAAAATACAGAATTACCCTATTACTTCTTAAAGTACGCTAAGACAAAAAAAGTCACTTGAGGATAATATAGTTTTTGCATTAAAGGTGAATCTGCAACAAGAAATCTGCTCAAC